CTGACTAGTTATGGAATTCAACAGAAATGTACTGACAAAAAGACACATTATCAATAAAAATAACCTTTTAAACAGTGTTTTTGAAAGGTGAATTCATATGTACAATTTTAAAATTCAAAAACTATGAATATATAGAACAATAAAATCTTTTATCCTTTCCTTCCAATTATTCAGTTCTTCTGCCCATAGACAACTAGTGCCCCTAGTTTGTTGTGTGTTCATCAGAGATATATGCTTATATAATCATAGATTTTCCTTTACACAAAAGCTAAGCACTCTTTACCTTTACTTTTCAGTAAACAATGTATCTTGAAGTATATCTCATAGACACAAAGCAACTCTAATCTTTAACAGCTGCATATAGGACCAATGAATGGGAAGAATGTTCATTTAAATAGTCTCCCATTAGTGTGCATTAAACTGGTTTTTTTTTAATCTTCACAAATAATGCTAGTTAACGGTCTTCCAATGTGACCCTTAGACTCTACCATGTTTTCAGTTTGTTCAATTTTGCATATTTACAGTTCTAAGTACCAGTTTCCTTTTCAGACAGCAGATGACTGTTGAGGTAAGGAAGAGGTTTTAGCTCACTTGAAAGGAAACCTGTAGAACTTCGGGGCAGTGTAAAGGGCAGTGGCATTGCAATCATAGCCCTCCTTCAGATAGCAGCAACCTTTCTGTTGTTCTCAGGTCCCCTGTGTTTGCCAAACATGGTAAAAGTGATGGGGCCATTCCAGGCTTGGGGAGAAAACCAGCACAAGGCTATGACACTGGCATACAGAAAACTTCGCTCCTGTGGCTCTCTGGTGGCTTTCCCTGGTGGCCTCCCTCAAATGCTGGAGGAAACAGTCACACCGCTGCTATGGAATCTTGTGGTTACCCATAAGAAAAAAGAAGTCCTGGGATTGGTCAACAGTGCGTATCTCGTGTCTTCTAGTTTCCTTCTCTAAGAACGCAGTATTAATAAGCAACTGTAGCTGCCCCAGAGACTCACTGGGCAAGAGTATGCTGTATTGCCATGTGTATCTTACACAGGGTGTGAACTTAGTAAATAGTTTTTGTGGAGTAATGATGATGAATGGAGCTAGGTTTCATCTATAGGTTGTTGGAATTACAGAATATCTAAAGGATATGGCAGCTATGAAGGAAGCCCTCCAACTAACTGGAGGAAAGCATTGGTGGCTCGAGAGCTGAAGATGAGCTCACTTTGAATGAACTGCTGACATCATCTCAGTGAAGGTAAGACTCTTTAGCAGAAACGGGGAAGGTATGAGGCAAGAGTTCTAAGTAACTTGCAACTCCTTGTGTAGCTAAGGTTCATAAATGACCTGGAAGAAAAGCCCTAAGGATACTACCCAGAAACCTTTGAGTCCAGTAGAAAAATTTGCCAGGAGTGTGTGGTAGTTTGGTACATGAATGCTGTTGGAAACCTCTGGAGCTCTTATGTGTATGTATGTGTGTGTGGGGTGGTGCTGGTGGTGGAAATTCTTGATGAAGGCAAGTCATGGTGGGATGGGACAGGCATCTAAAATTGAACCTTTATGAGTCAAGCATAAACCTAGGTGTGTAACAGTCTACCTGAGAGCCTATCTTAGGAGGGAGAAGTACTGCCTTCACAACCATCCTTCCAAAGGCATCATTATCAATTGTCAATGCCGTTACAAGAATTTGTTACCATACAGATGTGACCGATTGAGTTCTATAACTATATTCAATTCTAATTTGCAATTCAAGGTCCGGGCTTGATTTTATGACTAAAATAAAGATTTGCTCTCCAGAGCTGATAGTGGGAAGGTGCCACCCTTGCCTGGTGATGATCAGACAAGCAGGGTTTGATCCCAGCCTCACCAAAATGACAAGCAGGTTCACATTAAATGATGTTTCCTTTCAACATTCAAACTTCCTCTGAACCTGTGAAAACAGTTTTGTTTATTTCTCTTTCCTTACAAGGAAGTATAGCTTGGGGTAAAGAAGATGACATAAGTGGGTTGCAGGAAGCCTATTTAACCCAGAGCCATAGAGTTATTTTTATTAGAAATTTTCTGTCACCACTATTTTACAAAAATGAGCCATCATACCTGATTACTTAGTAGTGGAGACCATGTTAAATTTTCGTATTTTTCTCTTATTAGCAGATAAATGACTCTCCTAAACTATCTGCCACTTTAGATAACACTATGCCATTCCTACATGCAGAACCTGGTATTATCTCAAATGCACATATGAAACAGAATGATTCTGAACTTTAGACGTAGTTCCTTTCACCCTAACTTTGCCTTTACTTCAGGCTTCACATTACACTCATTTGACACTATCTCCCCCTTTTCAACTCCATCTCTCCAGTGAGTGTGCACCCAGATATCCATGAGGCCTGTTTTAAGACACACACTAGCATGCCTCTTCCTTTCCTCTTTCACTTTGCAGTTTGCATCATTAGTTCATGTTAGTTCTATCATATGAGCTTCAAAAAGTGCTTCCCATTGCCCTCTCACCATCCCATTAACATAACAGCTTTGTCTTCCTAAAATAAGACATCTTCCAATAGATCATCTTAAATCTGACAGATTCTCCGCTGGTTTGTAGACTACATGGAACCAAATATCTACCTACATCTTTCTCCCTTTTCCTCTCTTCCATCCCTCCTTTCTTCCCTTTTCTGTTTTCACAAATCTCTTTGATTCTTCCCTTCTGCCCCTCTCCAGCCTTTTCTTTGGATCTCTGTTCCCCCAGACTTCCCTAATGTTGTCCTTGGATATGATAGTTATCTCCCTACTCATCAGAATACTATTGGCCCATCATATCTCCCTCAGACTTCCCTTTTCAAAGCCCAGGGTTATCTTTGGGGTTCTTATCTCCCCAGCTAAATAACAATGTGACTGAGGGCAGTTATTGCATCGTATTAATATAACAGGTCTTAATTCTAGAGTTGAACTCTTAAACTGTACTTCTTGCCCTCTTGGTTATCTGGTGATTATAATCCTGGTCTCAGTTTTCTCATCTGCAAAAGGGGAGATTATGGCAGGTAGCCCTCCATGTTGGGTTTGTGGGCCTTATGCAAGAAAGCATATGCAAAGACTAGTATTTGGAATTTTGTAATCATCCAATAAATATTATTTTTTTACAAATAATATTCACCTTATCTCCAAAGTACTTAATGGAGGGCCCTGATCTTGAACTTGGCTGAGTCAATTGCGGGGCATAGGGCAAAAGAGCAAGGCTGTGTGTGTAGGACACTGTAAAATGGAGAAACTTCCTGGCATCACTAAAGTCATGTCATGGTGCTAGGACTTACTGTTGTCTGCCAGCCAAATTCTTTCTAAGTCCTTGCCACCCTCTTAATCCCGCTCCAAAAATTTCTGTGGGTTTGGCCCGGTGTAAAGGGGCTGCCTTCCCAGAGTATTCCAACTTCCTGCCAAAAATCTGACCTGCTGCAGAGAGCAGATTGCTAGTCTTCCCAGGGTCGCCAACGCAACACTAAAACTATGGACCACTAACGCCAACCTCCTGTCTGCCATTTTACTGAATAGGCCTCAAGACTGGTCTCTGAGAGTGAAGAATGGGCTAAATTAGACACCCTGCTTTCTTCTTCTCTCTGGCTGGGAAGGACCATGGGCATCCTGGGAAGGATTCTTTCAGCTGGGACCTCTTCAAAACTTCAAGTGCAATAGATGCGATGGAGATAGGCATGCTGCTCAACTGAGCCACGAAGGCAGATTTGGTATTTTGTAAAAGGGGAAAAAAGAAACATTAAACTATACAGTTTGAGCTTCAATAAACATAATGAATGCTAGTACATTAAGTAGTCCGAGGTCCAGGCTTAAATGATCTATGTCCCATTGAAAACAACTCAGAAAGGCAATAAAACAATTCTAATAAAGGCGAAAAGTCTAACCAAAGGCGCCATAGGCCAGTCCTTAGACAAATACGTGCTTTGTGTGCAACACATAAGATCTTTCTTCTATTCAAGTTGTATAAAATTTTAGAACTTTGATTGTCTGACGATAAACTATATCACAATACCTAGCTCACCTGGCTGTAGTGGCAATTTCATGAGATAAGGAAACTGCTGGTGATGGCACATGGTCCATTACTATCTTTTCCTCCTGTTCCAGAATTAGATGCATTCTTGCCCAGCAAAGGGTGAGAAGTGAGGCTCCTGATAACATTTCCATAAGCGGATGAGTAAGATGGTGGGAGCATTTCCGAGAAGTTGACCTAGATTGAACTAGGTGTTGTTCATAGAATGCTCTATGCTCAAAGCTATTCACACGTGTCTACCTCAATCACCTCAATGCACAGGGCTGCTTGCTCCCAGCCCAAAGAGATCTGAGCTTATCTTGGGTTTAACCTCAATCCTCAAGTGATTGCCATTTCCAGCAAAGCCAGTTCCCTAGCTGAAGGAAGCCCTTCCCAAAGGGTGAAATCCCTACAGCTTCATTTGTTTAAATTCCCTTACTAGTTTTATTGCCCAGGGTGTGGTGTTTGTCGTCGTCGTCCCCCCCCCGCGCCCGCCCCCATTTCAGGGTATTAATAATAAGTCAACAAGAAGGAACATGCCCAGAGAAAGCAACGCGATTTCCTTGACTGCCCAGGACATGAGTTGAGCTAGTGCAGGGTGGAGATGAGGTAGTCAGTTCAAGAGGCACCTTCGGGGGCGCAAAACGGGACTGGAGAGGAGGGATCCAAGACCCCAGGGTTGGGCCCGAAGGGGAAAGCGCTAGAAGGGAGGAGGCTCGAGTAGAGCCCGACAGGTTCCAGCAGCTCCCCTCACCCCTATCCACGCCTCCCGCCGCCCCCCCCTCCCCGGCTCCGGGTTTCCTGTTTCAGTTCTCGGCGTTCTCCAGCAGCAGGTGCTGGTTTGCCAAGCTACGCTCCAGCGGCGGCGAAGGAAGGCGAGCGAGCGGAGGGGAGGAACGCTGCACGCGGCGGCGGCTGCAGCGGCTCGCGGCGGGCGAGCGAGCGAGCGAGGAGCGCGGCGGCGGGCGGCGGAGCCCCAGGGCGCCCGAGAGCCGCAGCCCTGGCGTGCGGTCCGCCCTGCGGGCAAGCGGGCCGGCGGTATGGGGGAGCGTCGCGCTCGGCCCGAGCCCTAGCGGCGGCCGTGGCGGCCCGGCGCTGAAGCGAGAGGTGGCCGCCTGGCAGAGGGGGGGCCCGGGGCCGGCTCGGCTTCCAGAGCATGTCGTGATGGCTGCAGAGAAGACACTGCAGGTGGGTGGCGCGGCGGCCGGCGGAGTGTGTGGAGGGCGGGAGTGGCCGCGGTCGCCTTCGTTGCCGCCGTCCTCAGTGCGCCCGGCTCCCGAGCCAGCCGGGCGAGGGGAGGCCCGCGGGGCGGGGAGGCCGCGCCCGAGCGCCCGCCGAGCTCAGGATCCGCCGGGGCCGGAGCGGCCGCGTTCAGGGAACTCCAGGCCCAGGCGGCCGCTCCGACCCCCGAGGTCGAGTGGTCCAGTGCCCGGCGCTCGGGAACGCCGAGCGGGAAAGCCGAGCGCATCCTGCCCGCGGGCGGCGCCGGCCCCGCGGGGAATTCGGGCGAGGTGAAGCCGGGCCCGGCGGCCTAGAACGCCGGTCCTGTGGCTCCCGCCCGCCCGAGGGCCACCGCCAGCGAACATGGAGGCGGGCCCGGGCGCCGCGGAGGGAAACGGACCCGCCGCTGTGATCCTGCCGCTCGGACCCTCGCGCGCCGGAGGGGTGAGGCGTCACCCGGCTTCTCCATCCAGCCCCCCGCCTTTCGCTTTCACTAGCCATCCTGCCACCCGTCCTCCCCTGGCGGGTCTTCGGAAAACCCTTCACCCTTCGTCCAGGTCCCCTGTCCGTCCTCAGCCTCCCGCCCAAAGCCCGCGTCCATTTCTGCCAGGCTCATTTTTAACTCCCTGCGACAAGGGATTTCCTTAACTTGGAGAAACGAGCCCCGCTTTTCTTCCCTATACTGTTTCATCCTTTATTGTCCCTTAAAGTCCTCACAAACAGCGGTTGCTTCCCAGTACTGATGATTCTGACTGGGTTTCCTGCTGCTTTGGGTATCCGTTAACAACTCGGGGGTTTGTGTTCTCAGTTTTGTGATAGAGATGAAACCGTAATCCACATTCAGGGAAAGTTCTCCTATTGGTTGCAGGACTATCTTGGAGTATCTCCAGCTCCATCAGGCGCTTATTGATTCAGATTTCTTTTTCTTTCTTTCTTTCTTTTTTTTTTTAAGCCGCCTTAGAATAGATAAAGAGATAACTGGGGCCAAGCGTTATATATTTAGAAATCTGAGAAAGTTGTACAGTTCTTCACTCATTTCCTTATTGAAATTTTTGTTCTCTGCTTCAAATATAAACAGAAAACAGGAGACATGCCTCAACACCCCCCCCCCCTTTTTTTTTTCCTTTTGACTTTCCAAGACCCATTAAAAACACTACAGCCAGGAACAGTGGGACACATGCCTTGTGATCTCAGCACTCATCTGAAGCAACAGGATTCTAAGTTCGAGGCTAGCCAGGGCTGGATAGGAAGATGGGTACAAGGGCATGACCAGTTTAGTCTCCTACATGTATAATTAACTTTGCTTACAGTTTCTTAATCTTGGTATTCTCTGACCTTTGAATAGATAACCTCACTAAAGATTTATAAAAACGAATCTTAATGTTGGTCCAAACCCAAATATTTTTCTGTTCATGTCTTACGTTTATCATTCTAAATCTGTCTACTTGAAGGTACCATAAAGACCTCAAAGTGGTCTCTGTATGTTGAATCTGAATCCATGGTTTTAAATGATTGAATATTTTTCTTTGAAGAATCACTTTTACTTTCAAAGTAAGTTGCAGTTTTTCTAGTATCTGCTCATTAAGAAGAGACACACACCTTTAATCCCAGCACTTGGAAGGCAGAAGCAGGCAGATGTCTGAGTTCTAGGCCAGACTGGTTTACATGGCAAGTTCTAGGCCAGCCAGGGCTACAAAGTATGCATCCTTGTCTTCAAACAAGCAACAAAACCAGAAAACATCGTAAACAAAATAAATGAGCATTTTCTTTTCTTTTTGATGTTTAGGTTGAACTCTCAACATCCTGAATGCTAGGTTTTCTCTCTTCTTTTCTTCTTTACACTCCCCCCCCCCAATTCAAGTCAGGGTTTCATGTTCCTCTCTGTATTACATCTCTGGCTACCTCCTGTCTCCCTAGTGATTAAAGGCACATGCTACAACTGCAAGGCTTTTTTTTTTTTTTTTTAAACATGCTAGGTTTGTATCTCTTAACCCAGTTTGAGTGACAACAGAGAAATCAGTATTTTAACTTATATTTAATAATGAAAGCCTAATGAAACTATTTCAGAATAATGGAAAATATTAAAGAATGGGAAATAGAAACTTGGAAAGTTTATGTACCAAAAGGAGTTTTTAGTAGTCACTTCCTTTTACCAATTTTTTAGATGATCACAACAAAAATATCCTGTTTTATATTTTGAGCTTCTTTGGAGATGTTTTAGTGGATTACAACTGTCAAATTGGACCCCGAATGATTAATAGAAAATGTATCTTTAAAACATTTTTTCTAGTTTGAATTTGAATTTCCTTGTCATTATCTGAGTTCATGATCCTTACATTTAACTACTGTATATGTCTAAAAGTGCTGTTGTCAATATCTGCTTGGTGGTCTGTTTTTAATTAAGTTTAGAAGAGTTCTTTCATTCTGATTTGAAGTTTTAAAGAAACAAGATGTTAAGGGAACTTTTAAAAAATATTTTTAATGTTAGACTGTAAAATTATAAATTGATCTGCCAGTTATTGCTCATTGGAAGTAGTTTCATTGTTAAATAATCATTTAGGTGTGGAGTAAGGGCCCTAACCTCTAGAGGTCTTCTTTTTACTAACAGGCAGACATGATACTTAGTGGAAGTCCCTAACCCTGTGAATGAAGCAGCAGGAAATTCAGATTCTGTGCAAGGACTCAAAATTAGTTACAGGTATCTAGGATGGAGTGAGAGTCATGTCCTAGAACTCTGATGGGAAAGCAGAGTGGCTTGTCTAGGGCATGTGGTAGACATGTGGGAATGTTTGTATTAGGAACGAAAATAGTGAGTGAACATTTATTGAAAGAGGATTCTAGGTTTAGCCTTCGACTGTTGCTTGACCTGCAGTGTACTGGTTGTTCCAAAAGTACTTATAAGCCTTACAGACCTGCAACATTCAACTATAGTTAGCAATGATAGAGTGAGGGTTTCAACCTGCTTCGTCCCTGTTGTGACGGTATTAAAGTCTTCTAACCTAGTACATTGTCCTGCATATTATTGTTTAGGTGAAATGATGCAGTAGCATCATTCTTGGGAGTTTGTTTTTAAGAAGGCAGAGCATTTTCCCATATATTTAGAATTATATTATTTGAAGAATTGAACCTCCCCTTTCAATTCCTATAATAATATGCACCAAAATTTACTTACTGTATTAACAATACTTCAAACAATGTTATTTTATGTAATCATCCTCCTGCTCTCAGACTATTATGTTGTTCCTGATATTTCAGTATCATAATTCTTGGAATGAGTATCTCAGTAAAAATATCTTTTCAGTGTCTGTGGTTTAAGAATATACTTCTAAAAATAATTATCAAAAAGAATACGTTTTGACCACAGGTTGTATTGCTTTGTAAACTCACTAACAGTGGAAGAAGTCTGATTTCATTATACTTTAATTAAAGAGTAACTTTGAAAAATCTTTGACAGTAGGCTGGAGAGGTGACTCACTGCTTGTACTTGCTGCTGAACCTGATGACCTGAGTTTAATTTGTGGGACCCACAAGGGGGAAGGAGATAACTAGCTCCTACAGGCTGTCCTGTGACCTCCCATGAACACTGTAGTGTGCACATGTAAATGGATAACTAGAGGTGTTAAGAATTTAGGTTCAGGGGATGGGGATTCACTCTCTAAGTAGCTATGCAGATTGTGTTAGATGTGGGATGTGTGAGGAGTTAATTATTTTGATTCACATCAATGTTGTCTTCTCTATTTGTTAGTAGCTACTCCTTAGTGATACCATCATTCACTTTCTGTAATGTGCAGATATCAGCTCTGCATTGTGAAACAAAATTACAGCAAGCTAACCTTATAGCTAAAAAGTCGGTGTCAAAAGTCCTAGTGGATGTGTCTAACATACTACCCACATGAGACCCAGGATGGCTAAGAGTGAAACCCAATACAATATTGTAGACTTGCTTCAAATGAGAGTTTGTGTTTTGCATTATTTTTGGTAACTTCAATTGTGTAGTTCTCAAGCTATGTAGATATGTTGTATGTCAATGTGTCAGAAGTTTGGACATATCTGGTAAGGATGCTCGAATAGTATAGGCTGACAAATGAAGGTTTGTATTGTATGGAAAAGGCACATGAAGCCTTTGGCATCAGCTAACCCTAGCCCTGTCATTTTCCAGTTCATCCTAAGTAAGAATCTAAATTTTATTTGTTTCTACCCAGTCCCAACTGTCTACTTTGTAGCCTTGCTTTGTATAAAATAATGAGGGCAGGTGAGATGGCTCAGTGTTCAAAGGTGCTTGTGTCCAAGACTGATGTCATGAATCAAGAACCTACATAGTGGAGGGAGAGAACCAACTCTCTTAGGTTGTCCTCCAACCTCCACAAATATTTCATGGCATCTGTGTAGCTGTGTGTATCAAGTCTTTCTCAGTTCCACCAGCCACCTCCTGAAATACAACATAGAGAATTTAATTCATTATCAAAGCTTGGCCAATAGCTTAGGCTTATTTCTAACTAGCTCTTAAAACTTAAATTAACTGGTATCTTTTAAACTACTTTCTTTTTTTGTTTGTTTGTTTTGTCTTTTTGTTTTTGTTTTTTCTTTTTTTCTTTTTTTTTTTCCGAGACAGGGTTTCTCTGTGTATCAGTCCTGACTGTCCTGGAACATGCTCTGTAGACCAGGCTGGCCTTGGAATCACAGAGATCCTCCTGCCTCTACCTCCCTCGTGTTGGGATTAAAAGCATGTGCCACCAACACCCGGCATGTAATAAAAATCTTAAATGAATGAAAAATGCTAGATGAGTCATTAAGTTACTAAGAGAAAACATTTAACAGTGCCATTGGTTTGATTTTATTTATTTATTTTGCTTTTTACTTAATCTCTGGCTCTTAGTTGTATTAGGAGTAATTGCAGTTGCAAGATGTAAAACTTCTGTAAAATCAAGTTTTTATTGTTACAAATATATGAGCTTGTATTTTTGGGT